AACAGTCACACCAGTGGTAGTAACTTCATCAAAAGCTACACTGTTTCCCTTCTCAAAACTGAGCACAGTTTCTTCTTCGACACTGGCTTCTTCAGGTGGCACGTCTTCAGCAGCGTCATTTGTTCTGTTGTCCACCTCGTCCCAACTGAAATGTCCTGGACTGTGACAACGCCAAAGCCTGTTGGCATGCGCCACTTTTGGCTTACCTCGCCAACCACATTTTACCCGGAAAGTCACGTCATATGGGCCTTCCCATGGAGAAGACAACTTAGGAGACTTCCCTTTGGTCTTCCTGGGATTATACAACCATACCTTGTCTCCAGGTACAAAGCTGACTTCAGTTGATCTCTTATCATAAGTTAACTTCATCGAATCAGCAGACGTTTTCAAGTTTGAACGTACTTGATGGTGAATATCATCCATCCTTTCTGATAACACTTTCACAAACTCTGACACATTTTCAGGCAACTCTTCATAAGGTGGGTGTCCCTTATGCTTGGGTCCCCTTTTAGCACTACATGTACTGCATGTTCTGCACCATTCTTCCACATCTCGCCTCATACCTATCCAGTATAATCTTTGTCGTAGATGACTCAATGTCTTCTTGATTCCGAGATGTCCTCCTGTTAAATTATCATGGGATTGATGCAGCACAACTTCCCGTAACTTCCTCTGTATAACTGTTTGACAAGTCGTCACTTTCCCATCGGTAGTTTCCCATCTCCGTACAAGAATACCATCTGCAAGGTTTAACTGGTCCCATTGTGCCCAATAGTGCTTTGTCACAGGGCTTAGACTAGACACCTTCTCCCAAGCAGGGCGCACAACACTTGTTTTTAGAAAATCAATCAATGGCTTCAAATCTTGGTCTTTCTCCTGTTCTGCCTTGATATCTATATTTGGTTCCACTTCACCATCATCAACGCTTTCAGTCACTTTGACTTCAGATGGCACCTGGTTAGTCCAACCTCTCTTTTAAAACTTACCGGAATTTGGCCTTTGTTGCTCCCAAACATCATTTTATCAAATTTAACTACACACTTCCTTGGTAGTAAGTAGTCCAATCCTAATATGCATTCGTCTTCAATGTCAGCCAAGTATACTTTGCGTCTGTCCATTATGCCCATGAGCTCAATAGTTACCCACACTGGTCCCCACAATCTTGTAGAATGTCCTGTCACACCATGAAGCTTCTGTATGGCTTCTGGTACTCCTTCGTGATTTAACACCTTGATGCTCACAAGGGTTTGCTGAGATGCAGAGTCTATGACAAAGTTGCACATTTGGCCATCTAGCTTTCCTGTCACATAGACACTGTGTGAGCTTGGCATTTTACACCTAGCTGTAGGGACTTTCATGATGGGGGTTGGTGGGCGTTGCTCAACACCAACCACTACTGGTCTCCTTGAGGCCGACTTGTTGGTAA